CAATAGCCATTTATTTATTTATTTATTTATTTATTTATTTATTTATTTATTTATTTATTTGTGTGCCTACATGAGTGTGTGTACACATGTATCTAAACATGCGTGCGGAAGCCAGAGGTCAACCTGAGGGAATGTTCTCTCTTCCTTCTGTATGGCTTCTATAGATCAAAATAAAGTCATTGGGCTTGGCCACAAAGATTCAACCCAAGCTGTCCCACAGGTGCTCACTACCGATTTGACTTGTTTCTTTCTCATTACATAATGACCTCTTGGTCACCAATATGTCTTTCTCTCCCTACCTCTCTGCCCCTCTGGCTACTTCACTAGCTTGTCTGATGTCAGTACAACTGCTTTATTTATTTATTTTTAAATTCAGATCTATCTACCAATTCTTTTGATTTCTTTCCATATGGGTCTTAACAAGTCTACTCAACCTATTTACATACAATGAGATGCATATGTTATATTATTTTTATCTTATTCCTTCGTGTTTTATATTTACTCTCTTTCTTTTCCCATCCTTTCCTTTTTTCCTGCCCTGTACTGGGTTGAAACAGGATTTCCATTGATAGCCTGTTATTTGGAAGAATACACTGGTTTTCTGTTCTTTAGATGTTTATTCTGAAAATGTTCAGGTGCCTCATATTTTACTTATCAAAGTTAATCAGCATGCCTATAATTTTAGTACAAGACAAACTCTTAAACCATTTCAAGTCTGTTTCTCCGTCTTGTTTGAGAACACTCAAACATAGTCCCTCCTAACTGTTATTTTAAATAGATTTATTTGGTGCAATTGTTTTGCTTGCTATTGCCTCTGGCCTCTTACCCTGGCATTTAGTTTCCTTCTTGCTGAACTGTCCTGTGCAGGGCATTCTTGCCTGGATAGCCATTGTTAGGCTCTGGGAATGGTAAGTTCTTGAATTGTTGAATAGGTGTGGCTGTGCACTCTTGGCTTTGTAAAGTCATTTCAACACAGAGTTGAGGGTGCCAGTTACTGTCCCTCTCCCTGTAGTTTTTAAAATTATTCTACTTATTTACATTACAATGTTGCCTCCTTCCACTTCCCCCTTCCAGAGTTCTTTACCCCACTCCTTCCCTTCACCTCTGAAAGGGTGCTCCCCCACTGGGGGGGGGGGCATTTCTTTTCCCTGGGGCATCAAAGTCTGGACCCACCAGATTAGGCACATCCTTCCCACTGAGGGCAAACAAGGCAGTCCTCTGCTACATATGTGTGGGGTGAGGTGGCACAGGCCAGCCCGTGTATGCTCTTTGGTTGGTGGCTTAGTCTCTGGAGCTTCCAGAGGTCCGGGTTAGTTGACAATGCTGGTCTTCCTATGGGGTTGCCATCCCCTTTAGTTCTTTCAATCTTCCCCTAACTCTTCTATAGGAGTCTCAGACCTCAGTTGGCTGGATCTGTATCTGTCTCAGTCAGCTGCTGGTAGAGTCTCATTCCCTGTAGCTTTAATCCATAATTGCTGATGAGATTTATTATATCCTCATTTGTTACAAATTGCTTTGACTCAGGCAGTTTTAAGACATTTTCTTTGACATCCTGCAGGTCCTCTGTAAATCACCCAAGAGTATTTCTGATCTTTATCCCAGGATTGGTGGGTTTTTGTCAAGGTTCATATCTTCCTTCAATCTTGGAACACCACTGTCACAAGCTATTTGATTACTGCTTCTTTCCTACACTGAGTATTGGATTTTTGTGGAATTTCCAGTAGATCTATCTTATTCTTCAATTTTTTCCCCTCTGGCTTTTCTCCTATCTCTCTTCTGGGGAGGACTTGTTTTCTCTCTTCTTTTGCCCATGGGAGCTCCTTCACTGTGCCTTTGTTCATTGTCTGGCTTGTGATTTTTGCCTTAGGGTTCATCCTTAAAATTTTATTACCCTCTTTTCTTTTTGCATGGTCATCTCATACACTGGGGCTGTAGAAAATTCTCTAGGAAACACTCTAATCCTGGCTCCAGCCTGGGCTCAAGCAGACTTCCCTGGCTTGGGAGTAGCTTTGAGGTCAATATCTGACTGGGAATACCAGCCTGATGGTGATAATACTGATGATGATACTCAGACTCTGGATACAGGCCAACGCATCCCCAGTGCACATAATGCATATAACACATGTGAAAGGCTGCACGGGGTCCATGTTTTTCCTTCTTTATTCTTTCCTTCCTTCCTTCCTTCCTTCCTTCCTTCCTTCCTTCCTTCCTTTGTTCCATGTATGTGTATGTGTGTAATCTTTCAATTCATGATACCTGGTGGACAATTCTTTCTTACATTCTGTAGGGCTGGGAGAGTTCTTCACAAAAAGTTTCCCTGGGAAGCCAACCTTTGTGAGATTCTAACTGCAGATCTTCAGTTCCTTCTTCTCTGCTCTAGCATCTGGCCTTTATACTCATTCTCAGTCATATTCATTCATTCTCTCTCTTCCCCTCCCAGATCTGGGTCCTGAGAAGCCTTTTGGGATTCCATGGCCCAAACTTAGTAGCCAAAGCTCTGGGTATCCCTGCTCCCACATATCATTTTGTTAATTTTAGAGAGGGTCTCACTATAGCCTAGGCTAATCTGGAATTCACTATATAGCCTAGGCTGGCCTTGGGTTCGCTGTTATTCTCTTGTATGTGTCCTAAGTGCGTGGATTACAGGTGTGAGTCACTACACTTAGCTGATATCTCTTGGATGGCTTTTCCTGATTCACTTTTAAGCTTGTAATTTTCACAAAATCTTGTAGATATTTATATTTTGTTTTGGATCTCTGTCTTCTTAGGGCTGGGAGAGCTGGGGCAGCTCATCCTACCACGTTTCCAGATCAGGAAGTGTCCACTCCTAAGTGCCAAGTCCCAAAGATGGTCTAAGGAGAGTGCTGGAGGCCTGACACAGAGAACGGAGGGGGTCCCAAGAGGGAGGGCGACTCCACTGGCTCGATTTTTAAAAACAAATGCGCATGCACATAGTTCTTTATAGCAAGGAGCCTCTTCTTCCCTCACAGGGCATTGATTTTATCCTCTGCTTTTGGAATCTCATGGAATTTACATATAGGGCTGTGTGTACACACAGATGCATAGTGTGTGCCAAAGAGCACACAAATGAATGTGGCCCAAAGTTACATATAAAAGCGCAAACAATCTCAGAGATGCCTTAGTGGGTAAAGGCACTCTCTGCCAAGCCTGATCATGTAAAAGTTCTGTCTCTGGGACCCAAACCATAGAAGAATAGAACTGATTACCACAAACTGTCCCCTGACTACAACATGGACACACACACATATGCACATACTCTAAATATTTTTAAAGTGCAAATAGTAGAAAAGTTGGTCAGGAGGTGATTAATATATTGTAGTAACTCAACAGAAAGTATATTGTACACTCCTTTAAGGTAGGTTCAACAAAATCACTTTCCCTCTACATTTCTTTAAAATACTGCAAAGTTTAACACAGCAAAACTTAGCTGTGGCAGGATTGCTTGCTAAGCCACCTCTAACTCTGGCCAAGCTTTGTGGCAGGTGAAATGGAAATGTAGGGCTCTTTGGAAAGTACGTTGGATGGCATTTTTGCTGGGGCAAACTCATGAAAGTGGACATAGTTGTGAAAGGTTAACACAGACTAGTGAAGGAACGTTTCACTGAAAAAGATGCAGGAGAGAGAATGTTCTGCTAAGGCAAGCACACGAAGGGACATGTAATGAAGGATTCTTGCTAACAACACATATGTATTGGCCCACCTTGCATTGTGTAGTTGAACTGCATTTGTGGGGACTCCATAGAGAGAAACCTTCTGATGGTATGCTGCAGTTTCTTGCTGCTTCCATGGACTCAGGCTGATTGGATGCATGTGCTAAGGCACGGCACGTGGAGGACAAGTGATGTTTGGAGGGTACAAATAGGACTCCACAGAGTGACAGAGACAGAGCTTGGTTTGCTGGTACAGCTAGCAGTACAATGCTTGTGGGTCCCGAGTCTTCACTGATCTTTGCTTCCCTGAGAGAGGCACAGCCAAGAACTTCTGCTGCTGTTCCTGCTGGTTCCTTCTTCTGACTCGAGCCTAGGCTGAGGCCTGGCTGTCTCTGCCAGGTCATGTCACCACTGTTGCTAACTCAACTCTACTGAACTGGACTGCTGGTGTATCCATGAAGTGTTTGTGGGTGGATCGAGCTGCTGCCGCCTGCTAACCTGTGAAGTGAACTGCCAACTTCCAGACAACATGGAAGGGAGTTGCTCCAAAGAACCTTTCTAAATAGTCCACTTCTCCCTGTATCCTTTCTTTTCTTCTACCTCTGGTGGGTGGTGGGCTACAAGGGAGTTTAAAGTGTTTAAGAATCATTATTAAAAGTAAGGTTTGAAAAAAATTAAAGTTACAGGCAGGACTGCTTGTTAAGCTACCTCTAACTCTGGTCAAGCTTTCTGGTAAATAACAGCAACCTCCTCCTCCTCCTCCTCCTCCTCCTCTTCCTCCTCCTCTTCCTCATCTTCCTCCCCTTCCTCCTCCTCCTCTTCCTCCTCCTCCTCTTCCTCCTCCTCCTTTCTCTTCTCCACCTTGTCTTCCTCCCCCTTCTCCTCCTCTTCTAACCCCCCCTCCTCCTTCTCTTCCTATTTTACATTTAGGCAGGGACTCACTATGTAGCTCTGGTTATATAGACCAGGTTGGTCTTGAACTCATGGAGATCCCCAAAGTGCTGAGGTTAAAAGTCAATGTCACCATGTCTGGCACATCACCTTTCTTTAAAAGCTGCTTTTGTTGTTGTTTTGGGGAAGGGTCTCATTTTGTAGCACAGGCTGTCCTAAAATTCACTTTATAGCCTACACTAGCCTCTAACCTCGGTGATCCTCCTGTCTCAGCTTCCAGGGAGTTGGAATGTAAGGTGTAAGCCTGGTTTCTTCAGGGATTTTTGGGGCCTAGATTAAGAATCTGGGAATGTTCTTAGCTCAGAACAAAACAGCTACAAAAGTGTCAGCACAGATACCATGTACAGAGTTCTGTTGGCCAAAACATGCAGGAATTACCGTGTAATTTCGAGTGAGGGAGACATCAGTACCATCTTGCAGATAATGGGTCTCTGTGAAGCCATTGGCAATGAGTCCCCTGTGGAAACAGAAATGACATAAAAAGGTGAGTGTGACATGCATGGACAGACTGTCATGAGTCTCTCAAGGGTGGGAATGAGATATTCCAGGGAGGCTCACAAAGGGCTTCACTTATTCAGGTTTCGAGGGAGAATTTAGAGGGCAGCCCAGTAGGAGACAGTCTACAACAGATGTTTTGAGAAGTTGTCCATATGGTCCCTGTGTGGTCCCTTTCATTTTTCTGATTCCATCCTTCTCAGGTGCAAAGTTTAGCATTCACCATGTACCTGGATGGATACACGGCCCCCAACACCATACCCCCATGATACATCATACCCCCTCACCATATGCCATCACCATCAGACCCCATTGAGGTTTGGTTTGTTGCTATGTATTGTAATGCTAAATACTGTCCTCCAAGGTCTGGTTGCCCTCAGGGATGAGAAAATCCTTATGTATACCAAGTAATGCTATGTGACTTTGCTCCTTAATTTAAAACTATTGGTTGAATAAAGATGCAGACAGCTTATAGCTGAGCAGAAGAGAGGTAGATGGGGCTTCAGTTCCCAGGCTTGGTATATGAGGAGGACCATCATTAGAGAAGAGAGGAAAAGAAGGTGGAGGGAGGAGAAGACACTGTGTAGTAACAGATTAAAAGAAATAACTATGAGGGTTGGCCAGTCAGAGTAAAAGCAGCCTACATGGAACATGGCAAGTCATATCTCAGGGTTATTGGCAGGGAGGTAGACATAATGGCATAGAGGACAGATCTGCTCAGTTCTTGTGCTGTAAAGGTTTATTATAAATTTAAAAGTTTGTGCCTTTTATCTGGGAACTAAATGATCAAAGACAGGGTAGAAACCCCTGATTGACTTTAAATATTTTCCACAATAACACCCCAGCACAATATATACCATACCCCTTACCCCAAATCTCATACTTTATTATGACTGTACAGACTGATTTCCAAGTTGGGAAAACATATCCCCAGATGTCACATTGCTCCACAAACTGGAATCAGTGCTGAAGCCACTGGCTGGGAAAACAGCTTTGGATCCAAAGGTATTTTCTTCACAGGTGAGAGTTCCAGCTATCCATACTGAGATCTCACAGGAGAGGGTAAAACAATAACTAAATGTTATAAGTAATGCAGGTGTGAAAAAATATGACTTGGACATATTCAAATGTGAATTTCCAAGATAAGATAAATTCAGGAAAGCCCCTTGTGTCCCCAACTATGACAGTCACCAGGTCTTCAGTGAGGCCACAGCATAGGAAAGTTAGGTTTTAAATGATTTCGCAGCCTGAGATTAAAAGCATGGTTTTTATCCTGCTCGATGCAATGTAGGAAAGATGCCCTATATACCTATTATGTGCTGGTTTTAGCTGCTAGGCCGCAAATATAATTACACCAGCCTCTCTCTTGAGGATGCCACAGCCTGGTATGGTGACAGAGGGAATTGTATCAGAGCAGGGGAGCTGTGTTCTTGGATGAACCACTGTGCATTAGATAGCATATTAAGAAAGCATTGCAGAAGGAGCTGGACACCACTGTGCTGTAACAGACAGAGGAGGATGCTGAAGTTTATCAGAGTGTGTAGGAGTGGCAGCATCCCAGCCTGATGATGGCCATGACAGGCTACCTCGAGATCTAGGACTAGGAAGCCAGCAAGGACAAGAAAGCATCCTAACAAAATCTGATCTTATCTGTCAGTGTAGTAGAGTCCAGAGTGGTTTCAAATTCTGTGTCCCTAGAGGGCAGTGGAGGGGATGGTGCTGTTGCTCTTCACCCCACCAGTTCTCCTGGGTGGGGTACTGGGACTACTGGGAAGAAGCTTTTCCTCATGTTCTCAAGCTCGCAGAGCTACCTCCATAGCCAGCCTCCACTTGGAGAGAATGCTAGAAGCAGACAAACCTGCTATCTTTCAGTGATGAAGGAAAGAAGAAAGATGGTCCATTTGCTTGTGTGCTGTAGCATCTCTTCCCTCCAATAAACTTCTCTTTGGCTTGAGCTGGTTCCACCTGAGCTTGCAGCCAGCATCCTGGCAAGTACCTCAATTCAGGGAGGTGGGAATGCTGGGTATATAATAGAGAAGACTTTCTTCTCAAACTCAGATTGCCTTGGTGTTCTTCTAGCCAAGTTCACAACAATATCCCTGTTCAGAGCAATATTGCAGTTTTACATGGGTTTCAATACATTCAAGAAACATGCATGGCTATTTTATGTCCGGTAGGTTGTGGCAGTGGGTGGGTCTGAGATGTGATATACTTCTTCAGGAGTGTTTCAGGACAGTGCAGCAAAATACAAAATACAGACAGTTGACAACTGCACATGGATTCTCCTGAGCTCTCAAGAGTTTGCTCACCTCCAGAGTTTTAAAAAAATACAGTTGAATGGATTTCCCTGGTGGCAGGGGGGTCTCAGAACAAGAGCCCATCCCCCAAGTTCTCATCTCTTCATACATGCACAGGCCTCCTGGGCAGGCCCATTCCCAGGGGCACAGCAGCCTTGCTGGTATGTCTACTGCAGAGCAAAGAACAGGGAGCAAGCCAGCTGGGCAGATGGGGTGGAGGTTCTCCACCCCGGAGACGCATTTGCAGGTTTTAATTGTCTTCAAAACATCTTTGGAGTCAGAGAGGATACAGTCACATACATACTGGGGTTCCAGAGAGTTCTGACATACCACTGCCTGCTTCTTCAGGTCCTGGGGTGGGTGGCCTAGACAGGCAAGTTCTGCCACTCATGTTACCCTGCTTTTTACCTTGAGTAATTCTCCTCTGAGTCACACTTCCTCTAGCCAACTGTGGTCCCTGGATGATTCTAGAATATTCAACCAAGGGCTTTGCCATTTGCAATATCCTGCATCTGGAATGTTCTTTGCATGTTTTGTCAAGTGGCTGACTTCTTTGGATCTTCCTTCTCTCAGTTACTGTAAATAATGTCTCCCCAGGGGCCCCCTTCTCTGATGTGGACTCTGAAGCAGCCCCTTCACCATCACCCACTGCAGAGCCCTTTGGTTTCCTGTACAGCATTCCAATTTGGCTTATTTGATCTGTTTACACTCTGCCTCCCTTTGCTCTGGAGAATGTAAGCCATAGGGGCCGCTCACTCACCATTTTGTTCCCAGTGGTGCAGACCGCCCACACAGCCTTCCTCCCAAGCTTGGAAAATTCTGCTGAGCACTTCCTTTTAAAAATTTTGAGATTATGATTTAATTATAACATTTCTCCTTTCTCTGTCTTCCCAACAAACCTTTCCATATACATTCTTTCCCTGCCCCACTGCTGCTGCTTCCTTCCAATTCATAGTCTTTTTTACACTAATTGCTATTGCATGTACATAGATATATGTGCATTTACATATATATTCCTATATATAACCTGTTCATTCCATATGATGTTACTTATATGTTTGTTTCCAGGGCTGATTGTTTGGCACTGGACAACTGTGCTCTTCCCTGGGGAAGGCCACCTCTCCTGCTGCCAGCTTTCCTTAGTCACCTACAGGTCTTTGTATAGGGTTGAGGCTTTTTTCCTCCCTCCCTCCCTCCACTTTGGCATGTTCACTGGTGTTTCGTCTGTTCAGCTCACGGTGAGCAGTGCTGGTGATACTCTGTGGGTGTAGTTTCTGACATTCCTAGGAGACACAATCTCACAGAAAACTCTACCATCCTTTCTAGATCTTATAGTCTTCCCTCCCCATCTTCCACAAGTTCTAAGCCTTAGGTCTGGGAGAGTTTTATAGATGTATCCACTGGACTTGGGCTCCTCCACACTGCATATTGATTGATTGGTTGTGGTTTGCTGTAGCAGTCTCCTTCCATGTGTTGAATACTTCCTATGAGCTAGGCATCTGCTTGGCCTATAACATCTCATTTAACCTCTACAGTAGCTAGCTATAGGGGTCTGTGCTCTGATTTTTGTTCATTTATTTGTTTTCTGTCTCTTGAGAGAGGGAGGTCCAGCCTGGCTTTGAGCTCCAGATCCTGGCTCGGCCTCTGAGAGTACAGGCTCCGGTCAGTAAAGTCAGCTCTAGCTCTAGACACTGTTCTTCATCTAAATTTAAAGGAAAACCCAGAGATACAAGGAAGGTCAGGTGACCTAGGTATAAAGTCTCACCACAATTGGTACTTAAAAAAAGGATTATTTATTTTTATTTTATGTGTATGAGTGGTTTTCCTGCATGCACATCTATGTACTACATGCATGCCTGGTGACTACAGATGTCAGAAGATGTCATCAAATCCCCTGAAGGTGGAGCAATGGATGGCTGTAAGACAACATGTGAGTGCTTAGAATGGAACCCTGGTCTTCTGCAAGAACAAATGCTCTTAACTCTGAGCCCTTGTTCCAGCCCACACTTTGCGCTTTTGTGCCTTGTGGAGCCATCAGTCCTTCCAAGCTGGTCAGGTGATGTCTGCTGAGCACGTGTTGCAGATACCATGTGAAACAGTGGAGAAATGTGTAGAGCAGAATAAGGGCTAAGTAAATGCACAAATGCAAGAGTCAATCCGAGGGCAGCACAGTGGCTCTGTCCATTGACAGGACTCCCTGTCTCCCCTGGGTGGCTCATTGTCTACCTCTCTCTCCAGTGCATTTGATGACACCAAGCAGGTGCTAGATCAGAGTGCTCTAAGATGCATGTCTACTATAAAAGTGGCTGGAAGTCAAAGGCCCCTGGAGGAAAAATGAAGAGGGGCAGATGGACGATGGGTGTATTGGAAATATGACAGCAACCATCTTGTACTTCTACTCAAAGAGAAAATCAAATTAGATGGCTCTCCATCAGCAAATGGCAGAAGAAGGCAGATGCATGATTTCACAAGAACATTCCTTTCCTCTGCGTATTAGATTAGCTGACCTAACAAGGCATTCTCTTCCTCTTGACACTAGACAATGAGAGGCATCTCAACTGTGCCAGGAGCTGATGTTGCTGGTTTCCATTCGCTTTGGTGTTATTAGCAATACCTAAATAACTTGCATTTAGCCAATAATTACTGTGCTGGACCATGGAGGGAA